TTGTTTAATAAAAATATAGAAAAGACATTATTTTCTTACATAAAACTTAATTATCGCATAAATTTATATGAAATTTTTTTTTTTCGTCTCTTAAGAAAATATCAACTTTTTTTTTGTGTTACTTAATATTAAATTATTTTTACATTTGTATAATATTTTATAGCAATGTTATTACATTTTAAAATAATTTAATATAATTATCTAAGATAAATATGAAAATTGAACCCATGACTTACAACTAACAAGATAATAATTCAACTATTAAATTACATTTTTATTTTTTTAACATATATTTACTTGTTATTATATTCATAAAAGTGTTTATTCAAAAATTTATTTAATCTATTAAAACAGGCTGAACCAGGCAAGGCTCGAAACATTTTTTAGCCTATTTAGCCTATTTTTTAAGTCCAAACATATATATATATATATATATTATATCAAATTTAAATCAAAATTTCAGATTTGTCCTTTTTTTTTTTTTTTTTTTTATATGTTTCAATAAATATGCTATTACAATAATTGACCTATAAAGATGAATATATGTCTTAATTTAATTTAATTTTTTATTTTACAAATATTAGAGAAATAAGTAATCAACATCATCCATTTTATTCTTTTATTAGTAAACGGATGAGATTAAAAAATGAACAATATTTAATTTAATGAAATACAATGTCATGTAAACAGGAATTTGAATTTTTATTTATTAATCTCTTAAACAAGATTGAAAAAAAAAAAAAAAAACCTATGTTACTTATTAATTAATTTTTTCTTTATATAATCTTATAGCATTTGTATAATATTTATATTAATATAAAATTATCTTTACAATAAGCTCATATAGTTATATATAGTTAAGAATGAATAGAACTTGCATTTTATGTAGAGTTTACTATACAAGAAAAATTGATAATAAATAAAATACTGTTATGTATTTTTAATAATATATATATATATATTATATGATACAATTTATTATTGGATGTTTCGAAACAAAATGGTAATTAAATACTTTACTTGTCTATGATATTATATTATGGCAATATTACTGTAGATATGAAGATTTCAAATAAGTAAGATTATTAAATAATTAAAGTATATTAGTAAAATTAATTATAATATAATATAAATAATTGTGATTTAAAATTAATAAAACTAATTAATTTAATTAAAATTTTAAAAAAATATATAAATTATAATATTTAAAATACGGTTACAATGTATAAAATTTTTTTTTTTAAAAAAAATGACATAAGATGTGAGATGGATGACAATGTTTGGGAGTTTGGATTTTGAGTTGGGATTTGAATAGTAAAAATTTTGAATTTGAATAGTTGTATGATGTGATATAAATAGGTGTTGATGTGATGTTTTGAATGTAAAATTTATTTTTAGTATAATATAAAAAATGAAAAATAGGTGTTTGATTTGATGTTTTTTTTGGGAAAAAAATTGGATGAATAGTAGAAATCTAATTAAATCCCCCAAACAAACACACCCATACGTAGATATGCCTTAAAGTTAGTTTGACATTTGTTCATCTTGCATTGTAATGATGCATCTAAAAGTGAGATTCAAGTCAAAGTGGAGATTTGTTGATAGATTTATTTGTTGATATGTCTTGAAGCTAGTTTGCCACTTATTCATCTGGCATTGTAATGATGCATTTGAAAGTGAGATTCAAGTCAAGGTGAAGATTTGTTGATATGCATTGAAGCTAGTTTGCCACTTGTTTATCTGACATTGTGATGATGCATCTGGAGGTGAGATTCAAGTCACGGTGGAAATTTGTTGATATGTTTTGAATATAAGGATATGATTTGGATATTATTTGCATAGACTTAGGCTATAAATATCTATGTATTCTCATTTTAACATGTGTCTGCGTACTTTATAGTAAAATTCCTAGCGTGGCAGCGCCTCTAGACATAGATCATTATGATCGAACTTGGTTATCAAATTCTTATGTTCTTATTCGTCTTTTCTTGATTCCCTGAGTTTTCTCGTAACAAGTGGTATCAAAGCCTAGTCATTTCGATCAAGATTTTGTTAATATCCGCTCTGCTAGGGTTCCGTTAGTCAATCAACAATATCTGCTTTCAACGTAAAGGTTGACAAATTTACCGGGAGAAATTGTTTATGGAAGATCAAGATGCAATCTTTGCTGAAGCAGCAGGGTTTGTGAACGCTATTATTTGAAAAACCGAGAGGTGCATATGTAGATGATGAAGAGTGGGATACCGCAGAGGAGAAGACCCACTTGACAATCATGTTGTGTCTGTCCGATGATGTAATCATCGAAGTTTCCGATTATGAAACTTCTGTTTGGTCTTTTGAAGAAGTTGGAGAGTTTGTACATGACGAAATCTCTAACCAATAAGTTGCTTTTGAAGCAACGTCTGCTCAGGCTACGAATGCAGGAAAGAACTGCTGAAATGTTCACCAAATCAATCCCTTATAGCAAGTTTCAACATTTTTTTGGGAATTGCTAAATGTCATAAGCTGGTAGTTGCCAGAGGAGAGATGCATTTAAAAGAGGAATTCAAGTCAATGTGGAGATTTTTTTATATGCCTTGAAGCTAGTTTTTTACTTGTTCATCTGGAATTGTAATGGCGCATGTGGAAGTGAGATTCAAGTCAAGGTAGTGATTTGTTGATATACATTGAAACTAGTTTGCCACTTGTTCATCTAGCATTGTAGTGAGGCATCTGGAAATGAGATTCAAGTGGTGTTGATATGCCTTAAATCTAGGGATATGATTTGAATATTGGATATTATATCATAGATTTAGAGATATGATTTGAATATTAGATATTATATCATAGATCTGGATATTATTGGTATAGATTTATGCTATAAATAGACATGTATTCTCATTTTAACACCCGGCCAACAGGTTCGGCTCTGTATCCTGTGACTTAGTCGCCTTCAATAAATATGTTCTCCGTTTCTACCCATGGATGTAGACAACACGTTGCTGGTGAATCACATAAATCTGTATATTCTTTACGTTTTATGTTTATTATTCGATCATCCACTCTAATCCGTCACAACATTATATATATAACAAAGAGAGTATTATATTTACAAGTATCATTATAAATTGAATATTATAACTTAAAAATAGTGCAAATTGACATAGCTTACCATGTAGTTTTCTTTTAAATAAGATTGATTCATAATAATACTCCATCCATCCCGACTACCGTATCCTATTTACCGTAAATACGAGAATTTAGAAGGATATAATTAGTAAATAATTAAGAATGTATTAGTGAAAATAATTATCATATGATAAAAATAATTTTAGATTAAGATTAAGATAGCTAATTAGTTTAATTAAAATTTAAAAAATTTTAAATTAACATATTTAAAATGAGATTAAATGGTATAATTCTTTTCCACAAAATAAGTGGGACATATGGAAATGAAAATGTAGATTAGAGCTGTAAACGAGCCGAACAAAACCGAGCTTATCATGTTTGAGCTCGGCTCGTTAAGGACTCGAGCTCGGTTCTTTCGTTAAGAGATGCGAGGTGAAATTTTTGTTTGAACTCGGCTCGTTTAGCAATTTTTTTGTTCGTGTTCGGCTCAGCTCGTTAAGACAAATTTTATTTTATTTATTTAATTTTTTTAAATAATTAAATTTAGTTAATAATAATTATAATTTTTATTAATAAATTTAAATAAAAAATAGAATGCAATATAATATTTATAAAGATATATATACTTATTAATTATAAAATTATTAATTTTAATTTTCTAATAAATAATATCGAACGTTCGCAACAAGCTCGAGCTCGTTCGTGAATATAATGAGCCAAAATAAATGTCCGTATTCAGCTCGTTTAGCTTAACAAACAAGCTTTTAACGAGCTTAAACAAGCCGAATCGAGTCGAGCTCGTGAACTGTTTATTTGTTTTACAGCTCTAAAGTAGATACCGATAAGTGGGAGGGAGTATTATTTTTTAAAAAAATAAAAATAAAAATACAAAGTTCTATTGATTTTGTTTCTCCTTCATATAATATAAAACAATCTTACTAGCTATTTTACATAAAATATTTATTTTATATATTTTATATTCAAAATAAATATTTTATTTGAAAATTAAAATAAGATTACAAAATAAATATAAAAAATAGAACTCGAATCATTATAATATTTAAGTTTTACTATTTTATAATAAAATATAAAATATTAGATATAGTAAAACTGTGCGTAATACTAATAATGAGAAAACATAATATCATAAAAAATAATGCTCTATTTGTCCTTCAAATTTATTCTAGTCGGTCTTCTAAATTTATCCTATTATTAATTTTGGCAAAGTCAACAAATCAACATTTAATTATTACCCTTCATTCAATACTTATTTGCAATAAATATCACTAACTTTATTACATTCTCTCTCTTTCATTTACTTTACATTTTAATTAAATTTCTAAAAATATCCTCAATTATTTGTAATTTTTTTAATAAAATATTTATTTTTTTTTAATTTTTGTGCTCAACCTAATGTACTAATTTTGATGGATAGAGGGACTACTACTAATAATAATAATACACATTTCATTAAATAACTTACTTTTTTTCACAAATACCCTTACTTTGCATTATATTATTACTTTTATACTAAAAAATAAAAGTAAAAATGTCATTACACTAAAGTAATTGTATACTTTACGAGGGGTAGGAGGGAGTAATAATAATAATAATAATAATAAAACGAAGCTCCGCGTGTTCGGGATAAGCCTGGTTCGCACGAGCCAGATTTGGAAGTCTCTCTGTCCCTTCCTTTCTCTTCCCTTCTTTTTTGTCGTTTTGCTCATAATAAAAGCAATAATAATAACAATACAATCCCTCCCATTAAAGCACGTGGATAATTCCAGTCAACTTAATTTTATTCAACAGGTGCTGCTGCAGGTGCAAGTCTTCTTCCTATGCTCCTTCCCAATTCCCAATTCCCAAATACACACTTCACACTCACACTCTATATACATACATACATATATATATATATATATCATTCAATTTCCAGCTCCACATATAACCATCAGAACTGAACTATCTGCTAAATCGATCCATCCATCGGATTCAAATCCCTAATTCAGACCACAGTCAGTCAGTGAAGAAGCAATTAGTAATAAATAGCAATATGGTTAGGGCAGGGTGTGTTGACGAGAGTGGAGTGAAGAGAGGGGCGTGGAGTGAGGAAGAAGACAACAAATTGAGAGATTATGTTCTCAGATATGGCCACTGGAACTGGCGATTGCTCCCCAAATATGCTGGTATCATTATTTATTACTAATTCTGATCCACCCAGGTTGCAATGATTGATAACTGAGATTTAATTATGGCTGTCTAGGGCTGAACCGGTGCGGGAAGAGCTGCAGACTGCGATGGATGAATTATCTGAAACCAGGCGTGAAGAGAGGCCAATTCACCATCGAAGAAGGAGAACTCGTCAGAAGACTTCACCAGGAACTCGGCAACAGGTGTGTAAGAGAAAGATAATCAAATTAAATTAAATTGTAGTAAATTATACTCCCTCCGTCTCACGTACCATATACACGTTGCCGCCGTTTCTGTCGGTTCCACGTATCATGTCACTTTCCTTTTGGAAAATTATTACACCCTTTAATTTCATTTAAAATTTTTTAATTTTATTTTTTAATTTTAATTAAACTAATTATTTATCTTAATCTTAATTTATAATTATTTATATTATATGATAATTATTTTCACTAATACATTCTTAATTATTTACTAATTACACCCCTCCTAAAATATAGTGTCTACAGTATAACAGACACGGTATCTGAGAAGGAGGTAGCATATTATATACCACCTAATTTTTAATGAAAAATATATATATATATTTTGTTTATTGCGTGAAACTGAAGTTTGCACAAAAGACTCTTCTTATTCAAAATTCATGTTTGGTTCTGAATAAATACATAAATTACTCAAGTTTTATACAAATAAAAATAATAAAATAGTTTAAATAATTTTTTTAATAAAATAAATAATTGATCAATCATTTATTTTTATAATTTTTTTAATGTAAAAATCAGGTAAGAATTTGTTTTTAAAAAACTATAAAATCAAGATTAATCAATTATTTATTTATTTATTTTATTAAAAAAGTTATTTAAGATATTTTACTTGTTTATTTGTACAGTTTTGAACAAAAATGTTTCTTGCAAATTTTTTTTTTTAAGTAAAATACAATGGGTGTTATATAATTTACCGTAAATTAAATTAAAGAGAAAGAGAACTGATGAATAATGATTAATGATTGATTGATTGATCACAGGTGGTCAGCCATTGCAGCAAAGCTCCCGGGAAGAACCGACAACGAGGTGAAGAACTACTGGCACACAAATTTCAACAAGCACCGCCGCAGCAAGAAATCAGCTGCCTGCAAATCTTCAGGATATGTCAACGTCAATGGCAAAATCAAGCAGCAGGCCGTAGATGGTGATCGGAAATCCTCGTCGTTCCGGCAAGAGAATAATAATAATAATAATAATAATTGTCTGAGTTCATCGGAAACGTCAACGTATTCCTCCGGCGGCGGCGATGTGTACGTTTTGGACACGTCATCGTCGTCGTCATCGTCGTCGTGCAGCAGCAGCAGCATTTGGTCAGGCCATGATTATGAAGCGTGGTCGTGTGATCTGGATCCGTTGATCTGGTCTGAGATGTCGAGCTTCAATTGGGACATTGAGGATTCAATTGATTCTGGTGGATTGGTGGGGATGTCATCCTCGTCGTTTTTGGTGGACACTTCTAATTACATCCAAGAATTTGATTTTTCTTTGTTTGATGACTCTACTTTCGACAGTCATATGCCGGGGGTGTTCGATGATGCTAATGTGAGCTTGTTCAATTGATTCAATGAATATACATAGTAATAATAATACTCGTTCGTTTGATCAGACACGAATTTTAATAAAAATAATTAATAATTATTATTTTTTTTCTTTTATAATAAAAAAGAAATGAAAAAAAGTGTAATAATGTTTTAGAGGGTGTTTGAGAAATAATTTTTTGAAAAACTTTTAGTTTATTGAACAGCTTAGCTATTTGATTAGTCAAAAAGCTAATTTTGGTGTTTGGTAAATTAGCTTTTAGAAAAAAAATTTTAAATCCAAAAGTTAATTTTTGAAAAGTTTATCTAACCAACCCAATGTTTTGAAAGAGTGTTGTAATTTTAATTTTGATTATTCCTTATTTACCTTTAAAATTTAATTATTTATTTTATACATATAAATATATTTTCATAGCAGTATTTTATTAATTATTTTTAATATATTTAATTTATTAAATTATATTTTTATTTTTGTAAATTTAAAATAATTACTATTACTAATTATTACATATAAATTATTTTATTTATAAAATATATAAATTTTTAAAACTAAATTAAATAGAAAATATAAAAGTTATTAATTTATTTATATATATTAAAATAATAATTAACATAATAAAAATATATATACGAAAGATTTATTATTTTATATTTTACATAATTTTTATAAAAAATTATTAATTTTTAGTAAATTAATTTTCTCAAATCTAAATAATAAAAATAAAAATAAATATTTTATAATATATTTATAATTTTTAATAATTAATAACAAAAATTCTCATAAATTTCAAATCAAAATGAACAAAATTAAATGTTTTAAAAAATAACATATCAATGTCCTTAATAGTCATTTTATGTATAAACAGGTAGTCAAACAGTTGTTTTACCAAACACTTTAATACGTTAATTGAATTCAAACCAGCTAACTGAATCAGCTAATAGTTAAAAGCTATCATATAATTGTCAAACGCAACTTTAGTTAAAAAGAAACAAAAATATTTTTTTTATGACAACCTTAAAAAAAATGAACATATATTTGAACAACGGAATAAGTAATAATAATAATAATAATAATAATAATAATAATAGCGTTTGTCATGTTCAGTAGCTTTGGGTTTGAACTTTGAAACAACCGTGTGAATAGAAAAATCATAAAACGAATCTATCAATACTATGTCATCTCTTACAACTATTTTATTTTTATTTAATATAGGATGTACAATATCTTGAATAAAAACATATAAATGTATTGTATTAATATATTTTTTTGTACTAAATTTTTTTTTTTTTTTTTAGTGACGTGGGAAGTTACAGCCGCTATCCGAAAGTGTACTAAAATATTTTTAGTATGCACTACTATGGTGCGAGATTATATGATATGTTATCAGTTTATATGTTATTTTTATATTATGTTATATAATTTATATGTTGTATATCTCTCTTGGATGTTATATGTCCTTATATCACGTATTGTCAGTCATGTGTTTTATTTAGATATATATATTGTGTATATATATTGATATGTTGTCTATCTTTATATAGTATGACATTTGTTATTATATCGTGTAGTATCATTTTATATATTATATTTTTATTTATGTTAATATAATTCATCACGTCTTTCTTTTCACTGTATAATATATGTCTTTATATTGTGTATCGTTAACACTAGACTGAAATTTATATTTCATCACAATAAGCATTTCTTATAATCTATAACCTAAAAATTATTAAGTTAAACTTATTTCAAATAGTCTTATCAATTTATTTATTTATTTATTTATTTATTTTTTTTAATTTCATATGTCAATAGGATGTATTTCAAATATCCAAAATTAGTTTATTGATTTCAAATATTTTCTTTAATATTTCAAATAATCTTTCAAGTATAAGTTTGTTTGTTCATAAATACTAATATATATATATATATATAAAGTGAGATAAGTAACAAAATAAAGTTAAGTATTATAAAAAATTAATAAAAATATGATAACATTATCCGAAAAAGAGGTAAATGACATCAATAGTGAGGTGCAGCCCGGCGTGAAACACATAGTAACCGGAGCCCGTGTCAAAATAATAATACTCCTTCCGTCTCACGTAGCGTGTCCGGGGTATTGTAGACACAAGAATTTATGTTAGGTATAATTAGTAGATAATTTAAGATGTATTAGTGAAAATAATTATCCTAAATTATTATAGATTAAAATTAAAATAACTAATTAGTCTAATTAAAAATTTAAAAAATTATAAAATAAAAAATTTAAAATGAGATTAAAGTGTGTAATCATTTTTCAAAAAAGATAAGTGACATGAGATGTGAGACAGACATAAACAGCAATGTGGACACGATAGGTAGAACGGAGGAAGTAATAAAAAATTGACGCGTAATATTGTGCCTTATTATATTTTATTTAAAAATAATTAATATTTTATGATAAAAAAACCGTTTTACGTATCTTATTTTTAATATTTTTTTTTTAAAAAAATTGAGGTGTCGAATGTGGCGCCTATCATTTAAAAAAAATTGTAGACGCCACTATATGTGTCTATCATTTAAATATATAAAAGTATTATTGTTTTATTATATTATTAATAATTATTTATTAATTATTAATATTGATACTCGGTATTAATATTATTTTTATAAATATATAATAATTTTTAATTATAATTAAATTATTATTATTATTGTAAAATATCTACTTTTGTCCTAAATCTAATATAACACATCCAGCATAGCGCGGCTACAACAATTTTTCGGCTCTTGTCATTTTTTTTCTCATTTCTATTCTTTCGTTCTTCTTCTTCCTCGTCTTCTCCAAGCCTGTTACGCTGCCGTCCGGTGAAACACATCGGCCAATACACGCCTTCCACTGACCCTTCGTTGAATTATTTCTGCGGTTCATGCACAAGCAAGATCTCATTGCATTGTCGATAAGTTGAAAAAATAGGAGCTTTTGGGTAGGTAAAGGGGCAAAAGTTATGGAAATGGAGCTAGGAAGAGTACAATTTCGCCCTAATTACACTCGTTTTTCGATTTATTTGGTAAGTATGTAAGTATTTTCTAAATCTATTGCTTCCGCTAGCTATTTTTTTCTTTGATTTAGTGAGTATTTCATAAATCTAATAACGTGAGTTGGTTTTATATTGTGTAGCTGTGACTGTGAAGTTAAGTTAAAGACTTGATGACAAATCTGCCTAGTGAATTAATTTAGATAAAGACTTATTGCTACCCCATATGGTTCAGTCCAATGTGTATGCAAAATGCTTCTAGGGATTTCGGTGGGCAATCGAGCACGATAAGCGGCAAACTCGAGTTGACAACATCGAGGGTGTATTTGAAGGTGAGATTACACTATGTCAACACATATAATTTACATGCATATGTTTCCTGTATGTGTGACTAAGTTTTTCCATCTTTTTTTATTATTATTTTTTCAGAAGCAAGAACTGAATTAGGACAAAATACAATCATTCAAGAATTAGTGGAGAAAGTTAGTTTTATTGCTCCCTTTCCTCTTCTCAGTCAAATCATATTTGTCTTATCCTAATAATTGAAAAGAATGTGTCACCTACCTATTAACCTTTTGGGTTGTATTCACTGACTTTCTATTTGTTGCTTTCAGTTATCGTGATTACTCTTTGATCATCTTATAGATATGGGATAAAATAGCACCTGGTTTTGCCTTATATTTTGATTCACCTTCAGAAATTAATCAATAGCATACGTACATATTAAAATTGACAAAGCTCAAGTACTTTAATTAGTCTTATCTATAATTGGTCCAAAAAAGTGTTTAAATGATCCTGTCAACATCTTCTTTGATCCTTTCCAATGGAAATGTTGTTGTCCCTATCAATATCATCACTGAGTGAATGTGATTCTTAAAAGATACATAGATATCTAAGAATTAGGCCATGTAATTTCACAATATATAATCATCTGATAATAATTTTGGATGATACAGACGCAGAGAAATCCCTATGAATTAACTTCCATTGGAGGATGAAAATTGAAGTATATATCAAACACACATTAATAATTGTTGGACACTAATATGTGTAATATAATTTCAAATAGAGTTTATTTGAGTAAATATCTTTAGCCAATGCTAAAGCATTTGAGTTGAGAAAAGTTCATCGTTTTGTAGTCATAAATACTCATTTCGATTTTAGTTGTGTTTTAATGAATGGATAATCAATCTCCACCTTTGCCTATGTTGTCCAATGGAGATGGCCCAAACAAAAATAATCAGAGGTTCAATATTAATCAACCTAATAACCGGTAGTGGATTACTTCATATAATTTCGACTAAGTTAATAAAAGTTTTAATATGTGTTTACTACATATTAATTGATGTTTATATCGGGGTATTTTTGGATATGCAGTTCCATTGATGAGATTATTTCAGTCATCTCAAGTATATAAAGGACAAATTTTACAAGAGATTGGATTTATTTCTCACAAGTTTCGCTGTATAAACTATACGAATTGTTTAGGATGTTCCAGGTATATATATTTGTTACTAATATTTATTTTCAATTTGAGTATTATCGTCTTAAATTAATATTCTTGAAGTACAACCTTATTATCGATGGGACCCTAGTCACGAGTTTCTTATTAGGGACTTATTATGGAAAGAGTTCAAACAATGATTAAGAAAGCCTTCACAACTGCAAGAAAAAACCGACATAAAATGATGTCCAGATTGGATCCGAGAAGATAAATGGTTGGAAATATTACGTAAATGGGATACTAGAATATATAAAAATATGAAAATACAAAATAAAAAAAAAATACAGATAATATATCACTTGACATCCTCGCCAATACTCGAAACCTCAATCTTTCTCTTTTCCACCAACCCAAAACATCAAGGTTTGCATTGGCATCACAATCATATTTACTTTCACTCAAATAAACATCCAAATCAGATTTTTGTGGCGAGGCTTTATTAGACTTACTCACGTGCATATGAAACTTTGCTTTTTCGGTTAAAACTTCAATTCCAACCCCTCTAGATCCCAAAGAGTTAGAAGTTGAAGACCCTCTAATTTCAGAATGTTTACACTTCGATACAATCGGAGGCCTCTCTTCGGAAGTGTAACTCATGACATACTCATCATAAAGATCATACAAAATCTTCTTGATATCACCCACGTAAATTGAAGCTTCATCCTTACCATAAATTATTGAAAAAACAAAACCAATAAGCTCTTTTTTATATCTTGGATCTAAAATAGCACCCAAAGATATCAACACATTACTGTCTCCCCAATACTTGTCAAATTTCTCTTCCATTCTTAATGCCATAGACCTAATATGTGTGGATTTCTCATTAGGAAGCTCTTTAATCCGATACAACTGAGGGAGGAAAATATTAGCCGTTGGATATTCAGATCCAGAAATCATATTTGTAATCTCATGAAAAACTCCTAAAAACTGGTAAATATCTTCCACTTGGCTCCACTCAAATTCAGTCGGCGCATAACGAAATTCAACATCAATATCAACATATCTAGAAAACACATCTTTAAACTGTAAAGCTGAAGCTAACATCAAATAAGTGTAATTCCATCGTGTTGGACAGTCAAGAAATAATTTCTTCGGAGACAAAGAGAGTTTCTTTTCTATCTTTCTAAATTCAATGAGACGCGCTTCAAAATTACACAAATACTTTATTCCATCCCGAACACAATCAACCACAGACCCAATCTTATTAAGACCATCTTGCACCCACAAATTCAAAATATGTGCACAACAACGAATGTGAAATATCCTTCCCCCAATACTTAATTGTTTTCTCAACAACAAATCATCTTTCAATCTCTTCACACACACATCATTATAAGAAGCATTATCAACTGTAATACTAGACACTTTATTTTCAATTTCTCAATCAATGAAACATCTTCTAAGTGCATCAACAATAATAACATATGTATGTGGGGATGGAACATTACAAAAATTCAACACTCTCTTTTGTAATAACAATTTGTCATCTACAAAGTATCTAGCCACCACCATATATTGAACATTTTGGTTCGACTTCCACAAGTCAGTTGTAAGACTAATTCTTGTAACACCCTTTAACATTGATTTCAACTTCTGTTCTTTATAGATTCAAAAGTAGTCATACAATCCTTCTTCACAATATGTCTACTAATCTTTTGATGAAATGGAGAAATAGCTTTCAAAAAACTTGTTGAAAATGGCATGCTCCATCGTCAGAAAATGATATTTATGAGCTAAAATCATATAGGATGCAAGTTCTCATACCTTAGCATGATCGTACCAATAATTTTCAATCGAAGTTATCCATTCCGAATGAGATTCAGTAGTGAAAGAAAGAACTTGATGTTCCGAAGACAGTGATGTTTTAATGCAACTATCTAGATGACGCTTGTAAGTAGTTGTCGTTCCTCCCGGATTTCTTGAGAAAATCCATTTACAATGATTGCATTGCACTTTTAATGACGCATCAGGTTGAGATATTTCTTTCATATGTTGCCACACATACGATTTCCTAGCTCGACTCTTTTTTTTTTTATAAGTCTCCCTATCTTCTTCCATGTTTTTTTCTTTATTCTTTTGATGGCTATCAGAAAAAATCTCCAAATCGATGACCTTGTGCATTTCATCATCCTCACCTTCATGAATGGAAACATGTTCAACAAGATGATCAGCAGAATTCATTGTAGGATCAGTAGATGAACTTTGTTGGGATTGACTTTGAGACATAGCTAAAATTAAAAATATGAAAAACATTAGAAACTCTTATCGAAATTGAAAATTATGATGACCAAATTGAATATTATTGAAATAAATATAGGAATTTGCATATATAGTCATAATAATCAAATTGAATATTTATTTAAATATTTATATATGTATCTGTGAACTGTAAATATATAATATATATTGATAAAGAAAGAAAAATTCGTAACAGAGGTCAGTGGTTGAGGTGAATTTCAATATATATATGTATATGCTCATATGTATTCAGAATTTCAAAGAAAGGTAGAGCTCCTAAATCGATAAATAAATGTATGTCAAAATAAATACAAATTTACCAGTTGGAGCTAAGATTGGGAGGAGGCGGGGAGGCGGGCTGCGGACGGTGGAAAGGTGGAAGAAGAAGCTGGCGAAGGTGGCGCTGATTGTCGTGCAGACTGGAGTATTGGACGGGAGCCGGCGGCAGGACTGTGGGCTCGCAAAGGCGGCGAACGGTGGAGGAAAAGAGTGGTTGTGCGCACTGTGGAAGAAGACGTTGGCGGCGATCTGATACACAGACAAGTGAGCGATAGAGCGAGTAAGGGTGAGAGTATGAGAGAGGAAGTAAAGAACAGGAGCGGCGGGCAGGAGATGGAAAATTAGAAATATACTAATTATAAATAATTAATAATTTGATATATTATTTTACTTTTATGTATTAATCTAAAATTATTTTTTAATTAAAATTAAAATTTAGTTAATTTGAAATTATTTTTAAAATTTTTATATATATTTAATTTATGTATAAATTCAAATTGAAATTTTTAGAATTATTTTATTTATTTATTTTAAATCCATAATTTATTTATTTATTTATAAATTATAATTTTTATATATAATATTTATAATAATATATTATTTTAATGAACGTTCGCGAACAGGGCTCGAGCTCGTTCGTTAACTAAACGAGCTTATTTATATTGTTTGGTTCAACTCATTAATTTTCGCGAACGAGCTTTAACCGAGACGAACCAAGCCATGTTCACGAGAGACTCGGTTCGTTTAATAGCTCTAACCCCAATATTTCGGAACTCTGACGAAGTAAAACGAGAAGATTGAGCTATGTTGGGAAGGTAAGGGAGAGAGGATCGTTTTTGAAATATTAACTAGAAATGAGCAAGAAGAAGAAGAGATGAAGAGAAATGATGACTCTTCTTTGTGGTGTGTTTGAAGAACGGTGTGGAGAGGATCTTTTATAGGCACCTTGATCATACATGACATTTATTGCTCGAGTCAAAACCGCCGGTAATCGATGACGAATACATATCGGTAGCATACGGCCATATACACCAGATATAGTTTCGATCATAAATATAATATTTTACTTTTGAATTTCAAATAATGATATGTGCATGTGCGAACTTTTTCGGCCTAAAATTATTTATAATTTTGTATTGAATAATATAATATTTGACTCAAGTCCATTTCATAGTTTTCGTGTCTAGTTCGGACGCCCCTCCCGCCCAGACCCAGGGCTGGCCCTGGCACAAAGTATGGCTAAGGCACAAACTATAATTTATTTGATATATATAAGTAAAATGAGTTGTAGTTTGGTGGTATAGAGAATAATTTTTTATATTGAAGTCTTAAGTTTAAATTGTAATATCTCAAACATTTAGAAATATTTTTTTTATACTATTTTTAATATAAAAATTTTAGAAAATTATTTTATTTAATTATTTTTATTTTATGATAAATAAAAATATATTATTTATACAGTTTTTCTTCCCCTTTTTTTTTTTTTTTTTTTTTTTTTTTTTTTTTTGGTTTCTTCGCCCTGAGACTTTCAAAAGTGCTTTGTGCCCTACTTATAGGATGTATTTAAACACAACTTATTTGTGTTACAACTTCTAGTGTGGTATAAATCACTAATTAGTTAATTATACCTTAAACACTTTTATAGCCCAGTGACTATTCTTGCCTAAGTTCAAATAGCATATATTCAATTCAAATTAATCTAATTAATTTGGTTTTTTGGCCCGTTGTATTTGTACACGCCGATTAATCGGTTTTGAAAATTATAAATTTAATTCAAAATTAAATTTCATCGATTAAAGAAATAACCGATTATCCAATAGTGTCTTTCATGTATTGTTAGTAAAATGAGTATAGTGAGAAATAAATGTACCGTGAAATCGAGTCGAGGATGAATTTTCTCTCCGAAAATTAGATATGTCCATGTAGTACCTTCGATGACCGGCATCCTAATCCAAAAATGAAACAGTTTTCATCTTCGATGTGAGTGACACTTTAGATCGTCGGAGCTCAAGAGAACAAAAACGAGAAGAGAATTGAACTAGAGAGGTTGCTGGAAAGCTGAAGAGAGAAGAGAAGGAGAAAAGTATGTTGCCAGGGTGTATTTGTTTGTGGGATTGGATTGGATATTAAATACACTATTCATTCCAATTTTTTTCCCCAAAAAATATAAATCAATCACCTATTTTTTATTTTTTATATTATACTAAAAATCAAATTTACATTCAAAACATCACATCAACACTTATTTATATCACATCATACAACTATTCAAATTCAAAATTTTTACTATTCAAATCCCAACTCAAAATCCAAATCCCAATTTAAATTTATTCTAATTTCAAAAATTCTATCGGAGATTATAATAAATCTATCTCCGGATAAAATTTTATCCAGATAATCCTGCGACTCTCGGGTCATATTTCACGGGTTTAACGGCTACACAATTTGGTTTATCTCGAAACAAAAAAAATAGTCAAAATATTAACCAAGCATCCAATAAATATGCAATATTTATTTATTTCATCCAAATTAATCCCATTAATTTGGTTCACCGGTCCGTCGCATTTTCACTCTCCTGTGAATCGGTTGCGTAAATTCCAAATTTAATTTTCTAAAATAAAATTTCACCGATTAAATAACCGATTGTTCAACATATCCGATGCGAGACCAGGCCGAGAAGCTTTCTTGAGTTTGTTGGAAAGCCTTCCAACCGTCCCGAAAGTGAAATTCTAGTGACAACAAACCTAAGTCAATCCAATATATACAAATAAACATCAACTAACGATGAGGTTTTTTTTTTCGAAGTTTTGTGTTTCTATATATATATAGCAAGTTTCGTAGCTGTTAATGATACATTGGCACTGATCGATCGATCACTTGTATTGTGTGTGTATATGTACATAAAAAAATAAAATTACAGTACTCAGCTTATATATGATTTCAAGAAGCTGTTGCGTTGCATGACTACCACACATATCTTGTATGTGTTTTATAAACTATAGATATATTTATATATCAAGTCTCCAAATTATATTTATTACTAGCTAGTTCTTGCTTAAAAATTTCTGCTACATGTTTCGATGAAATATATGTGCTTGTGTATGTTTTAATGTATATATGTATTGTATTGTATTGATGATTTTATGAAGCAAAACTGGTGACAGAAGGGCTTCTTGATTCAAATCCAAGATTGGATAGGATAGTTGCACTTGAATGAATTCACTCCACTTATGTGTGCAAATATGTCAGAAGAATCCATGTCGTCTCCTTTCATTCCCACCTGTAAATAACATTGGATTTTTGTGGTATATATGTAATGAAAAGACAACTTATGAACAGGGAAAATTTAATCGGATGTATATTCAATTATCATTTTTTATCCTTTTTTTTTCTTTGGGCTTGAATTTATTTTTAAAAAAGACTTACTTTTAAAAAAAAAAAAAAAAAAGTGATTTTTCGTTAGGTACAAGACCAAAACACAACTAACGAGAAATATATAGGGTGACAGAAGTGATAATTAACCATAAATACAAGACAAATTTTGCGATTTTCTTATATGATGATATGCCATACCTTTCTTTGGTGATCAGGGATGGAATTGGAAAACATGACATCTTCATCAATGTCTTCTTCATGGTTGCTGCCGGAGGTCCTTGCGATTTCTCCGAGTTCGTCGTTCTTGGCGAACCTCCCTCTCACCCGAGGCCGGCTATCCGCAAGGGTCTTTCGACACGCATACTGAAAACCAAAGATTTGGGGAGCTTTAAGCAAGCAACAAATTGTTTCATTGTTTTTGCTCATATGTATATATATAGACGAATGTCATTCAACCTTGATCTTCTTGCTGAAATTCCTTTCGTTCCTTTTCTTCAGGTATCTATGGATCTTCCTTTTCTTTTCTTCTACCGATAGCTTGCCTGCCTTGAATGTCGGATCTTCCAAACTCGAAATCTCCGACGCCAATGGCGCGGCTGCATTTGCTCCTCCATGGACAAGATGTTGGCTCTCACTACTTAGTGCCTTCCTCAACAACACAACCATTCTTCATTAAAACATCAAATATATATACATATACGTATATACAACACAACCATATATTATATATATGAATATATGTATTGAACTATTTCCATACTGACTAGATCAAATCAAGATAGTGCTGATTTAATTCAGTTAGTACATTTAATCAAAATAGTCAGTACATTATATAATCCAATATAGCATAGTATATTATTGATTTTAGTATAGTATATTATTGATTTTAGTATAAAAATACAAACCAGATCATTTGTCCTATTAACACGCCCTATCCCCTATCCCACCACACATAATGTATATATACATGTGTATATGTTATATTTTTATCTTATGAGATCCTCTGTTTTAAAAATAAATCTTATGTTTACACATAATGTATATATACACACACGTGTATATGTAAAAATATATTTATAAAACACTGTATAACACATGTTTCTATATAGTACAACAAAATATTGCACTATATATAAATATGTGCTATCTGTCCGGTGGCTAGAGTCCTCTAACCGCCGTCGTATATATATATATATATCTATGAATTTTAAAAGTACCTGGAGATCATTAGAGCAATTGAAAACCCTTGGCATGCTATCAGAGAGGAAAATGTTGCTGCTATCTCCCTGAAATTCTAAGTCATGATGTGAAAAATCACTTCCCAACATCAAGCCATTGCCGGAGAAGATTCCAGAGTTGTCGGCCGGAAAGGAGGGATTCATGGCGGCAGCGGCGGCGGTGGAGGGCAAGTATGGCGCCATCATGCCGGGGTCGATGAGGGAGCAAGGAGGCTGCGAAGGTCTCATTCGGAGGTAAGACGGGACGGATGGCAAGCAATCCTCGTCGTAAGATGCCGAGAGGGGTGGCCCTAAGAGGGGCACCACCGGCGGGGGGGGCATGGTCGACCACCGCTCCGGCGGCGGGTATTGGTGCGCCGTATGGAGCGGCGGCGGCGCCGTCATCATGTCGCCGACCAATGAGAATTGGTTGTTTAATGATGAGATGTTAAAAGCCTCTTGATTGCTGTTGTTGTTGCTGCTGCTGTTGTTAAGGTAACTGCTCTGATGCGCTGAAAAAGTCGGAGAAGGGGTGAAGTCAATTGACACCGAGATGTCGTTGTTGTCTATTTGATCGTCGGCCGGATTGTCGAATATGATGGAGAGATTGGTGTTGCCGTCGTCGCCGTCGCCGCCGCCGGCGGCGGCGGCAATTGGCGGCGATGACGGCACTCCGGCGGTGGGTACCTTGAGGTTGTTGTTATCAATGCCGGTGTTGTTGTAGTTCATATCTCCGGCGATTGAAGCATTCGCCCGATAAGAAGATTGCTCGTCGTAGCAACCATTTGAGCTCGAATCCACCTCCGAGTTTTGCAATGTCTCCGGGAATAATTCCGCCTCGCAAAAATCGAACATTTGGGCTCCGATTGGGCTCGTGATTTCGTCCTAACAACAACCATAGTATAAGACAAGAACAATTAGATCACACGTTTGTAATATATCCCATGATTTTCTTGCATATCTAAAAAATGAGAAGAAGAAGAAGAATTAGTAGTAGTAGAACAAGAAAACGATTGAGTGAAAGTAAAATGAGGATATGATTGAAAATGAAGATGATGATCAAGAAAGTAAGAAATTTGTGAATTGGGACAACATAGAAAGGAATCTTTGTGAAGATATCTATAATGGAAGTGATGTCCATTTCTAGACAATCATTGGGAATTTTCGAGTAAAATCATGTATGTACGTACGCATGTAAAGATTTTAAAAAATGTGATGCCTATCAATGTCTGAATACCTTTCTCAGTCAAACTCAATAAGGGAATAAGGTTTTAGATAAGCTAGGAAAGAAAGATAAGTTTCATCCCATTATAGGCTTTGAAAAAGAAATTTCAGTATAGAATATGGTTAGGAATTCCTTCAAGAATTAATTAAATAAATATCATTTACAAAAGATAAAAACAAACATCTTTAATTCATGAATCGAAAGCAAAGTAAGAATGATTCCAGAAAAATATATTTATGTATATCGAAGAACATTTACGTACGATGAATGGAGCACGTGTCGTAATTCCAGACAGAAACAGATTTACTACATTGATTGATAATCTTCAAGTTTTATTGATCACAGGAAAACAATTAACTAATTAATTAACTATTCGATCAAAATTAACAATAATTAAGGCAATACAAAGAAAAATTCTGCAGAGGAATATGATCATCATCGTTATCACTAACATCATTTATTGAATAAATAACCATTTTGTTTCATCATTTGTTTTTTGGATTATCTTGTCAATGTTCCTACATGAATCCCACGTTAGTAAGAACCGAAAGAACACAGATAATGTTCTTACAACATTAATTCTGTCGTCATGATCAAATCCAGTTGGAATATTGTCAGGATTGGTGGCCGTCGCCATTGATGATTTGATTCGATGATTTGAAGGTCCAAGAAGACAAATGGAAGATCACTGCTTCATCTAGGGTAGAGAGAGAGAGAGAAACAACACAGACCACAGACAGATATAGAGAGAGAGCGTGTGGCTTTCGACTTTTCTTGGAGAGAGAGAGAGAGAGAGAGAGAGAGAGAGGCTGTAATGAAGAAAGTGTAGTTATTGGTTGCAGGTGTCTATGTAATAATAATATTATTTGTGGCAATAAATTTGATTATGGGGAAGAAGGGCGTGTGGGCGAATAGGTTTGGGATAATATGGGAACTAAGATGAGAGTCTGTTATATAGTTTCGAAGGGTATCGTCCGTACATAGTGAGTCAAAGCGAGGTTTTCGCAGGCCCACACCTAATCATTTTCTTCTTTTTGTCCCGGGACTTCCACACCCGATCCATCCGGACCCTTCATCACACTATCAACGATTCAACGGTCTAGATTGTTCTGCTTGTATACTAGTTCTTGGTCCTTGCAAGAATATATTCCAAGGAAACAAACATATATCTTAGATTACAACCTCCATTTGTTTTTGTTTTTGTTTGGTTTGATATAGTGATTTTGTGTGGTTTTGTTTTTTTTTTTATTTTTTATTTTTAAATAGTGGTTTGATATAATGTTTATTAGATATTAAAATTATATCTTTATTAAAAATTATGTATTTGTATGTATGTCGATTTTTTTTTTTTCATATAGTTAAATTTACTCTATTATTATATTTAAAAAAATTAAAAAAATTATATTTAATTAATACTCATCAAGTGAACAAATTTCACTCACTTTATTGCATTTTTTTTCTTTAATTCTCTTTAATTACTAATTAAATTTTTAAATATAGTCTCAACTATTTGTCTATTTTTTCAATAAAATATATATTGTTCTTAGTTCCCGTACCGAGCCCAAATGAGCTAAATACGATGGACGAATAGAGTATTAAAAAATTTGTTGAAAATAATAGTCTTTCTGGTTTAATTTAATATGCATTTTTACTATTTTCGTCTATTTCACTTAAAATTATCAATTTTTAGGGAAAAAAAAATTCAATTTTGGTCTTAATATAATCAAAATTTATCAATTTTGGTTCCAACATTAAAAAAAAAACTCATCAATTGTAGTCCTATTATAAACAATTTCAATTAATTTTAGTCTTACCATTCAAAAATTAACGAATTGTTGATGTTGACCTAATGAGGTTGACGTGGCAATTAACTTGAAAATAACGTGGTCATGTACAATTATATACGGCCGTATATAATTCAGTCTACAATTATATACACGGTCATGTTTAATTAATACACGGCTATATACATTTTTGTTTTAGTATAAAATTTTATTTTTTTGTTATAGTTTTTTAAAAAAAATATTTTGAATTTATGATAGTTGATATAATCAAAATTTTAAAAAAAAAATCAATAGTAATCCTAATATAATTAAAATGTATCAATTTTCAGTTCAAATATAAAAATTTATCGGGTATATTCTTTCTGAAGATTTTACCTAAAATTTTACTATTTGCCAAAATATTTCCTTTTACAAACATCTAATTACACAATTATTTTGTATTTATTTTTATATTAGATTAAAATTAATTTTAAATTTAAAACATCATGGACATAACGGGGTTGACGTGGTTGCTAGGGCTGGCAAACGGATCAGGTCAGGTCGGGTTCAGGTTTGAGTCAGCTTAAACGGGTTACAAAACCCTTGACCTGAACTTGGCCCATTTAATTAAATTGGTTGATATTTGTAACCTTAACCTGACTTTTTATTAATCGGGTCAACCTGAATCTGACTCATATAACCTGTTTAAATCTAAAAATTTTAAATTTTAATTTAAAATTACAATTTATACTAACAAAATTTTCAAATGCATAATATATATACATATTAAAGCAAAAAATTATGTATTCATATCATGAAACCGATATTCAAGAATTGAATTAACAAACGCAACAATAGTACACAACACAATCCTTTATTTTTTATTTTTTATTTTTTATAAAATTGACCATAAATATTGAATTGTATTGATAAAATTTTAAAAATATATTTAAATTTAAAATAATATTAATTAAACAGGTTAGACGGGTTATTTTCAGGTCGAAAATCTAGACCTTAACCTGACCCATTAATTAAATGGGTTAAACGGGTTTGATCCAATTATTAATTAGGTCGAAAATCTCCACCCAAACCCAACTATTTCAGGTCAAGTTCGGGTCGGATTATCAAGTCGGGTTAATTTTTGCCAGCCCTAGTGGTAGCTGACCCGTATGTAATACGACTGTGTACAATTATAATGTCTATGTTGAAATTGTATTGAAATATAAAATTAATTTTTTAATATAATATAAAATAATTGTGTAATTGGATGTTTGTAAGACGAAAATTTTTTGTGAATAGTAGATTTTAAGAAAAATATTCCAAAATTACAAACACGATAAATTTTTATATTTGAACTAAAGTTGATACATTTTAATTATATTAGGATTACTATTGATTTTTTTCTATTTTAACTGTATCAACTATTCTAAATTCAAAATATATTTTCTTTAAAAAAAATATAATAAAAAATAAAATTTTAGATCAAAACAGAAAGGTACATGGCAGTGTAAAATTAAACATGGTTGTGTGACAACATGTGTATAATTGTACAATTGAATTATCCACGGCCGTGTGACAATATGGCCGTGGATAATTGTACATGGTCATGTTGTTTTTAGGTCAACTGCCACGTCACCCTCATTATGTCTGTTAGCAATTTCCGTTAATTTTTTAACAGTGTAACCAAAATTGATTCAAATTGTTTATAATGGGAATAAAATTGATTATTTTTTATATTGAAACTAAAATTAATAAATTTTAGTAATATTGAAACCAAAATTATTTTTTTTCCCCAATTTCTATTATAGTAAAAATAATTCTTATATAAATGCTAAAATATTGTAACTTCTATAAAAGTATCTATTTCCTTTTGTGTGTGTCAAAATCATACTCTCTCCATTCCATAAAAAGGGGATGATTATAGTTGTGATTTAAAAAAAATAAACATCACGCTGACTTTTCACATAAGCACACCTCATATATATACAAATAACACATATTAGGATGGCACACAACACATACTATGTATAATAAAGGTATGCGTTGTTTCTTAATAATAACAAGTGTGTTATATACAAATATATCATGTGCTAAAATCAATTGTTGTGTGTGTTATATGAGATTATAGCATATGTTGTTAGTTCATGTGTTGTATTTGTATTATATTAACATATACAACGTATTGTCTTTATTTATATTGTGTGATGTTAAGACTATAACATGTGTATTTTGTTCATATCCTGTATTTGTATTATATTAACATATATAGTGTGTTGTTTGTAGTAATATTATGTGTTGTCTAATAGCACATGATGTGTTGTTCAGCACAATGCTAAATTTACAATTCAGCACAGTAGCGCCTATAAAAAGGATACCATTTTTTTTTATATGTGTCAAAACAAATGTACTATTTCCTAATTTATTTATTGTACTACCTAGTTAACATAATAAATACGCTTACAATTTACAATATACTTCCTTCATCCCGGATATTTTGTCTGCTTCACTGTAGACATGAGAATTTAGGAGGGGTATAATTAGTAAATAATTAAAAATATATTAGTGAAAATAATTATCGTATAATAAATATAATTATAGATTAAGATTAAGATAAGTGATTAATATAATTAAAATTAAAAAAATTATAAATTATTTTTTTTTAAATAAGATTAAAGTGTATAATTCTTTAAAAAAAAAAAGAAAATGACAAAATAAGTGGTACAAACAGAAATGGAAAGGTGGACATGAGAATGACACGGAGTATTACACAAATGTCATTATTTTTATATTACACCATACTAATAAGATATTTTTGTCTTCTTTACTACAAACTAATATAATACTAATATTACTGACCAATAAAATATAATTATTTCTTAATCTATTATAAAAAATATAAAGAAATTAAAAAGATAAAAACCTCTCAAACACCTGATTTTACTTTTATTTTTACCATTTTATCATTAATTACTTTTGGCAACGGTTAAAGTGCTGACAAAGTCAAATTAGCATCGTGTTAATTTGACCAAGTTAATAAATTAATATGAAGCGATTAGCAATTCGTTATAAAGCATATAACATAACACCAGAACTTGAAACAATTAATATTTAATCAAAAGACAAATAATATATGTTGTGGTGTTATATATTATATTAATATTTATTACTTTTTTTTTATAGATATTTGTTAATTTCGTCAAATTACTATTGTGTTGAAATCAGAATATGTTTTGCTATATATAATGATATAATGTGCTATTAAAATATGTGTTATATATTATATTAATATTTTCGAATTTATTCATAAATATTTTTTTGACCAGACCTAACACAATAACCAAAACGATTAGTTTTTGTTCATAATGTTTTTTTGTATGTAAATTAAAAAAAAAAAATATTCCTTAGTCCACCGTCGTATCTAGTCATACTCATTTTTCTATTTTTTAGTCTGTTCATCACAAATGTATCCATTTTTTTAAAAAAAATATATATTCCCCTAAAATATAAAAATACTCCTACCCATCATATTTGGGTATTTGAAGAAACCTTATTTTTCACTCCTTTCATCTCTCCGCGTCAGTCCTAATAGCCGGCGATACTATTTCTCGTCGACCATGGATCTTTCCGGATTTGGATTGCTGATGTCGTTGTTGGCCTCACCACCTTTTTCGTGCCCGATTCGTAGACCCGGCAGTTTATCGACGGTGGATTTTGCCGGATCCGGGTTACCGACGACCTATTTGACGTTTTACCCATTCCTCGTGCCTGATTCGAAGCCCAAGCTCAAACCAAAACTCGTCGATGCCGGGATAACACTACAAGAAAAAATCATTTTTGTAACAAAACTTTTTTGTCTCTAAATCTACTTTTTCCGTTACTAGTGACATTAGAGACGGAATTAGAAATGGAATTATGTTAACTACGTGAACATTAGGGACGGAATTCCGTTACAAATATATTATTTTTTTGTAGTGGATCGTTCCCCACGATCTCTTTGATATCAAAATATTTTATTTTTTGTGTTAAGGTTTATAAGATCTTTTAAATTTAAAATATTTAATGTCAACATATATAAATTTGTAATTATATTTTATTATATAAGAACCTATAAAATAGGAAATAAAATTTATATGCTTTA